TTTATTGTATGAATATGGCATGGTTTGGTTATCTTTTCTTCAGTTGATGGATATTTGGTGTCTCCAATTTGGGCTATTATGAACAAAGCTGCTATAAACATTGTCCTGCAAGTTTGCTTTCATTTTTTCTTACATATACACCAAGAGTGGAAGATCCTTAACTCTAGGAAACAAGCTGAGGGTTGCTGGAGGGCAGGTGGTTGGGGGGATGGAGTAACTGGGTGATGGGCATTAAGGAGGGCATGTATATGATGTAATGAGCATTGGCTGTTATATGCAAATGATGAATCACTAAACTCTACCCCTGAAACAAATACTACACTATATGTTAACTAACTTGAATTTAAATAAAATCTTGAAAGAAAAAAAAAAGAAATTGCTGGGCCATAGGGTAGACATAATCTTTGACTTAAACTACTGAACAGTTTCCTAAAGTATTTGTATCTTGGTTCAGGCTTATATAAAAAAGATATAGATTGGGTGGCTTAAATAACATTAAATTCTCACAATTCTGTGGGCAAGGAAGTCCAAAAATCAAGCACCTGCAGATGTGGCATCTGGTGAGGACACTTCCCAGTCTGCAGATGGCTGCATCCTCACGTGCTGGAGACCTGGGAGAGGGTGGCGGGTGGGGAGGAAGAGAGAATTTTGACTTTCTTCATCCCTTTATAAGGGCACCAATCCCATGATGGGGCTCCACTCCCATGACCTCATCCAAACCTTAATTACCCCCTTAAGCCCCACCTGTAGACACCATCACTTTGGGGATTAAGGCTGCAACATAGGAATTTGGGGGCGGGGGGAGACCCAAACGTTCAGTCCACAGCGATTTGTATCATTTTACACTTGCACCAGCAGTATGCTCGACTAGATCCTGTGCAAATTTTACTTTCCTTTTCTCCTGTTTTTCCTCTTTTTATTTTGATAAAACTTACTCAATATCTTTTCCTAACCCTGTATTGAACTTTCAATTTCTTTTTTTTTTTTTTTAAGATTTTATTTGTTTATCAGAGAGAGAGAGAGAGAGACAGAGGCAGGCAGAGGGAGAAGCAGGCTCCTTGCTCAGCAAGGAGCCCGATGTGGGACTCGATCCCAGGACCCGGGGATCATGACCTGAGCCGAAGGCAGACGCTTAACCGACTGAGCCACCCAGGCGTCCCTGAACTTTCAATTTCTGCTGTTAAATTTTCAGTGCGCTCCTCTTTCCTATTCCTTTAATAATGTTTTAGTAGAACATACTCTGACTTCAGATTTTTATTCTAGAGTAGTCACACTTAGAAAAGGGAACTATAATAAAGTGCATTCAGAGAAATCTTTGTGTTTGTGGTTTTTTTTTAAAGATTTCATTTATTTATTTGACAGAGACACAGCGAGAGAGGGAACACAAGCAGGGAGAGTGGCAGAGGGAGAAGGAGGCCTCCCACTGAGCAGGGTGCCCGATGTGGGGCTCGATCCCAGAACCCCGGGATCATGACCTGAGCCGAAGGCAGTCGCCCAACGACTGAGCCACCTAGGCGCCCCGGGAAATCTTTGTTTTTGAAGTCAGATTAAGATTTACTCCCTTTATATTGATTTTCACTATAAAAAAAGTTCTCAGGAGACCAAATAACTTGTGGTCCCCTTAGAGTGAAGCACTTGTGTTAAAATCAGTGCTTGCAGCCCAAAGTGAAGTTCACTGATTGTTGAGGCATCTAGCTGGAGTCACTTGCTGTAGATCTTGGTGCAAAAGTCTGAGGTCTCCACCAAACACTTGCCTTCCTTCTTTCTTCTCTCCTTCCCTCCTTCCTTCTCTCTTTCCCTCCTTTCTTTTTGAAAACATTTGACACATCTCAGATCCCCACTCTGGGCCACCATGTGGCTCACCAGGCAGGCACTGACATCAAGCCCCCCCCCCCGCCAGTTTTCACCAAGAAAGCCATCTCCATGTATATTTAGTACCTAAATCTATGTCTTTGTTTTGTTTTGATCTACAGTCTAGAATCCTGGCACTCTAGGAGATGGTCAGAGGATTCATTTGTGAACCAAGAGCATTGTCAGAAATGGGGAGAAACCTGGTGGTTGAGAGAGACATGGAACCCCTGGATCCAAACCAGATTCATTATCACTCACCTGGGACCTTGAGAAAATGCAGACCCTCCAGGGCGCCCCCTGCTGGATACTCTGAATCAGTGGGCCTAGGTAGGGCCAGGAATCTGTACTTTTAAAACAGCCAGATTACCTATGTTAGTCATTCCCAGTCCAAGCTCTCTAAATCCTAGCCATGATTTAAGAGAGAAGATCTAAAAGCTACATATCTGGATTAAATTCTCTTAGTTTACTGTAGAAATCAGGCTTAAGGAGTTTCCAGTCATTCCTGTCAACACAAGACATCCATTTATAGACAAATTCTATAACTTTCATAAAATTGGCTAAAAGAATCAACCAGCATTTATATAAGAATCCAGGTCATTCTTTTTCCTAAAAAAAGAATTGGCTCCTCAGATGAACCTATATGTTCCTTTTATCAAGTAAAAGCTATTCATCCCAGGGTCTTTGTTTCCTGGCCTTCTTGTTAGCTCACTGATAAATTGTCCCATTTAGAAAATTATCCCATTTCAAAAGGCCTGCTGCATCTAGTTCTGGCTTCTGATTTACAACCTTTCTTGAAAATGTTTAACAAGTGTTTATGACCACATCTGCTTATTGCTTTGAACTCTCCAAAACATTCTAAAAGCCAATATATATATAAAAAAAAAAACCCAAATTCTACATTTTTGTTTGCAAAAGGAAGAAGAAACCTGGTTAAGTTCAAGTGCAATGATATCCAGGGAGGGGGGCGGAGGGAGAGGGAGGGGAGGGAAAGAGAGAGAACAGTGGAAAGGTGGGGAGTGGGAGAGCCACCTGGGGGAGGCTGGCAGGCTCTCTTCTGCAAGGTTGCACAGGGCAGCACTCGTTTTGCAAAGTCCCTTGGTGTTGAAGACCCAGAAACCTGCTGTTTGTCAGCACAAAGAGAGTGTCCATTTGTCATCTCGTCTCAACGAAGCTCCCAGACTAATATATGCAGGATTCCAGTTAATTTAGAATAAGAAAACTGCCTTTGAGACACACACGTCCAAATGACCTGCTCATTCACGTCTAAATGCTTCCGGGGTTTTGCCCCATCCATCCTTTCCCATTGCGAGTCCCACTGCTCCCCCCTCTGTGCCTCTGTTGTCAACTGTGAGTTTCTTTAAGCTTAAATTCCCATTTCCCAGAGCTGATCATCCAAAACTCTATCATCTGAAGCCCATTTTAAATGCCTTCTCTTCAGACTTCCCTTGAGGTTTCAGATAAAAATAACCGAGCACATTGTTCCTTATACACTTTTTTTTCCTTTTTTTTTTTTTAATTTATTTGACAGAGAGAGAGATAGCGAGAGCAGGAACACAAGCAGGAGGAGTGGGAGAGGGAGAAGCAGGCTTCCCGCAGAGCAGGGAGCCCGATGTGGGACTCGATCCCACATCGATCCCAGGACCCTGGGATCATGACCTGAGCCGAAGGCAGACGCTTAACGACTGAGCCACCCAGGCGCCCTATACACTTTTTTTCACACTCCTTTTTGAAATAATTATTTGCGTACATGACTACAGGATGCCCAAAAAGAGTTTGTGTTTTACTGATGCTTGAAGCTCCAGAGACCGAGACGGGGCCTGATGCAGAGTTACAGCTCTCAAACACTCGCTGTGAAAGAATACCAGTGACAGACGGGGTGGTCTTGGGGGGGTCTCAGAGATATAGCCTCCCCACCTGTCCTACAGGATCGCTCTTTTCCTTTTACCGGACTGTCAACTCCCTGAGGGTAAGTATGTCTGAGTTTCTCTCTGCACTGCTTGTCCAGCACCGGCATAGGGTCCAGGATCTGGCAGATGCTCAGGAAATGTTTGCTAAAAGAGTTAAGAAGGGAAGAAATGATTGAATGAATGAGACGATGAACTCGCCTTCCACAGAGGCGTCGGTCGGGCACGTAATTAGTGAACCGGCGGGAGCCGTCGGGGATGCAGAGGACCCAGCACCTCTGGACCACTCTCTGCGGCCGGAGGAGGGGCGGAGCGCCACGCAATCCCGCCCACACGAAGGCGGGGCGAACAGAGTCCCACCGACAAAGAGGCGGGGCGTCGCGGGGAGTCCGCCCCACTAGGAGGCGCGGCTTGCGGCGCGCGGGAAGAAGCGCAAGCGGTGGCGGGAGCTGGCGGTGCAGTCGACTGACAGTGTACGTGCAGGTACTGCTTCCCCGGCGTTGGCTCTGGCGTCCCCACGGTCTCCCTGCGGGGCCGGACGGGGGCGAGAGGATCTCGCTGAGGGCGGGCCGCCGGATCCCGGCATAGCTCCGGAGCGGCGTGCATTCCGGCGGCCGGTCCCCGCCCCGGCCCCGTGCGGCCTCCTCCGGGCCAGGCCTGCTTTCGGCTTCTCGGCCGAGCGTCCGGTCCCTTGCGGCCTGCGAACGGTGGGAGGCCCCTTCCGGCCCCGGTTCCCTCCTTCGGACGACCCCCTCCTCCTGGTGGCTCCCGCCCCTGGGAGGTGGGTGTCCCCCGCGGCCCCCTCCTCCAGGCGGCCTCTCCCGGGCGGCCCCTTGCCCCGGACAGCCCCTCACCCGAGCGACCCGACCCCGGGCTCTCCGGGAGTGCCCCCCAATCCCCACCAAGCGGGGGTGGTCGCGCAGCAGGGCCCGGCCCCTTGATTTCCTCTGCCTGGGTGTTGCATTTTGCTCTTCAGGACGTAGCAGTAAAATAAACCCAACAGCCTCGGCTCAGTGAAGCTTTTTAGGTGCACCTGCAAAGGTGTTACGTGAGAGGTCAACACTGGCATCCTTTCCCGGTACGGCGTGCATTTTTAATGATGAGCAGGGTTCCCGGCTCATAATAAGCGTTCAGGACCCCTTTCCTGCTCTGTTAACTCATTACCAGCGATTTTCCGCTTTCCTCTGTCTTTGGGAAAAGAACGGTGCTGGAGGAATTTGTTTTGCTCCCTCAAGGCTCAGGAGGATGAAAGTCATTACTTGCGAAATAGCCTGGCACAACAAGGAGCCGGTGTACAGCCTGGACTTCCAGCATGGCGCGGCCGGGAGGATCCACAGACTGGCGTCGGCGGGCGTGGACACCGCGGTTCGGGTAAATGGGACGGGATGCAGAGAAGCGCTGCTGAAGCTTCCTTCATTCTTTCCTTTAAGCCGAGTGTCAAACTCCGACTGTTCTCTCATCTAGCGCAGAGAGAGAAATTCTCAGGGCCTTGAATGAAGCATGAAAGCAAAAGAAAGCTTTGCTTCTTGGGGAATGTTTCCCTAGTTGATAAGCTGGATGCTCATGAAATTAGAATCCCGAGCCAGTTCCTGTTGGGGCACAGTTTGCACGAGAGAGAGAGAGAGAGAGAGAGAGAGAGAGAGGCGAGAGGGCAGCGAACAATGGGACTGTTAGTTTATACGTTTCAGAAAGAAGTTCCATTTTAGGTAGCAAAAGAAAAACTGTTTTCTTCCTGAAAATTAGCCTAGTGTTGTTTTAGTAAGCACAGTATGGTAGGTGCTCACTATATGGTTCTCTGAACGAATGTTTTGGTCATCAACAGATCTGGAAGGTGGAAAAAGGACCCGACGGAAAAGCCATTGTTGAATTTTGGTCCAATCTTGCTCGCCATACCAAAGCTGTCAATGTCGTGCGTTTTTCTCCAAATGGGGAACTTTTAGCATCAGGAGGAGATGGTGAGTGTTAGTATTAGCCTTCAGAATTCCTTAGAAACCAGATACCTTGGTGTCTCAGGTTAAAAAGTGAGATCTGAGCTAGGTATGCTTTTTTATTTTAGAGGTCACTTGACCTCTCAATCCGTCATTTATTTATTTATTTATTTTAAGATTTATTTATTTCTTTTGAGAGAGTGAGAATGAGAGAGAGAGAGAGAGGACATGAGAGGGGGGAGGGCCAGAGGGAGAAGCAGGTTCCTCGCTGAGCAGGAAGCCCGATGCGGGACTCGATCCCAGGACTCCAGGACCATGACCCGAGCCGAAGGCAGTCGCCCAACCGACTGAGCCACCCAGGTGCCCTCAATCCGTCATTTAGATAGTTTAGTAAAATAGCGTTCTGAGGAGCACGAAGCGATGGAGGACAACAAGCTTAACCTGAGAAGAGCTGTTTGTAAGTGTCCAGTGCACCTCCCGGCGACTCCCCCTCACCCCACTCTGCTGGTGGAGACAAGTAGGGCACTTACCATTCTGCCAGTGTTCCAATACAGCTGTCCTGGCCTTGTCTGATTGCTGGCTTGGTATCCAAGTGATCACAGTCTTTCCCACGTCTCTCGTAATTAATTAATTCACTTGGGGGAGTATTGTCTGAATGGCCCTCTAAATTGTTTCCTTGGTGGGAGTAGATTGATTCATATTTTCTGCTTGTGCTTAAATAGCATAAAACTACTACCAAAAAAGTAAATCTTTTTACCATGCTTTGACACCAGAAGAGTCTAGAAGTTACTAGAAAATAAAACACATCACAGGTTTTGTTTGCAGAAGGAGGAAAGCGACCCGGTGAGGTTCAGTGCCATGGTGTCCAGGGCGTGTGTGCACAGAGGTTAAGGTGGAAAGTGGGGATCGCCCCTGGGGGAGGCTGGCAGGCTGTCTTCTGAGAGGTCGCACAGGGCAGCCTTTGGTTTGCCAAGACCTTTGGCCTTGGAGGCCCAGAAACCTGCTGTTAGCAGTGGAGAGTGTCCACCTGCCAATGTCAAGGCTGATCTCCCCTCCACCCGGCTCCCAGAATTCCACACTTGTGCCCATACAGCCGGCTCAGTGACTGTCCTGCTGGCATTCAGAGGGAAGCCAAGCGGTGCTCAGACTTGTGTGGAGAGTTGGGGTCAGAGCACAGGGAGTTGGAGCACCCGGACAATGGATGACATCAGGCTGAGGTATCTGATGTGTCCATACGAGTAGCTAATGCGTCCATGCGTCACCATGCGCTGGGCATTGTGTTTTAAGTGCTTTATGCATATTAACTCATTTAATCCCCGAGAAAGCCCTATGAGGTAGGTATATGCTGTTATCCCCATTTTACAGGTGAGGTAACTGAGGAGTTAAGATGCTAAATCCTGCTGAGGCTAAGACAGCTGGGAATGATTTGCCAATCCTTGCTTGATGGCTCTTGGTTTTTCCCTATTCAGCCATCCATAGGTAATGCTTTAGGATTTGTTAACATAGAGCTTTGTAATGGTGTTTTGCCGGCCTAGGGACTCTTCTTTTGCACGGGACTCTGGATAGCTCTGATCTGGTATGAGTTTGATTTTGGAGTTTTAGATCAGAAGGCAAACCTGTTTTTCCTTTCCAAATTCTTAGAAGTCACTCATGCTGACCATAGTGTCTATTGAACAACGTAAATAGGGTTTAATATCCTAAAAGCCCAGAAATGAAGGAGCATGCAAAAAGCATGGCTTATCTTTAACTGAATCACTCCACAGATGCTGTCATTCTGTTGTGGAAGGTCAACGACAACAAGGAGCCAGAACAGATTGCTTTTCAGGATGAGGATGAGGCTCAGCTGAATAAGGAGAATTGGACTGTCGTAAAAACCCTGAGGTAACTTGGGGAGGCCCACGGGAGTGATTTATCTAACTGATCTGAATGCATTCAACTCACATGCATTTTTTTATTATTTAAAAAAAATTTTTTTAAGTAAGCTGTACACCCAACATGGGGCTTGAACTCAGCTCTGGGATCAAGAGTAGCATGCTTTACTGACTGAGCCAAAATGCAGGTGCTCTGCATTTTGACTTAGAAACACGATTAAAATGGATCTTCTTTCTTTCTCTTTTTTTTTTTAAGAGAGAGTTGAGGGGGAGGGGGCAGAGGAAGAGAGAAAATCTCAAGCAGGCTCCACAGCCAGCCAGAGCCCAAGATGGGGCTCGACCTCACAACTCTGAGATCATGACCTGAAGCCCAAACCAAGAGTTGGACGCTTAACCGACTGAGCCACTCAGGCACCCCAAAATGGGTTTTATTTCTGCTATAAAATTTTCTTTAGTCAGATTGAATCAATTATAAAGCTATAACTACCCGTGAAGGTAGCAGATCCTAGCTGCAGCCGATATAGTTCCCGTGGAAATTTCGGAAATCCTAATGTATGGTCTCCGAGTTTGCCTGTAAATTTTTGATGGTTTTTCTCTTGTCGAGACAAGATTTGCTTTTTCCCTATCTTTCTCCTCTTTGGACTCCAGGGGCCACTTAGAAGATGTGTACGATATTTGCTGGGCAGCCGACGGGAATTTAATGGCTTCTGCCTCTGTGGATAATACAGCCATCATATGGGACGTCAGTAAAGGTAGCTGACACGTTTCTGTTACTGTCAGGGGGAAGGAATCTTCTAAGTGGCTAAAAAGTCTAATCTGCTGTATCTTTTTTTTTTTTTTTTTAATATTTATTTATTTGAGAGAGCGAGAGAGGGCATGGGGGGAGAGGGAGAAGCAGACTCCCCGCTGAGCAGGGAGCCCAGTGTGGGCCTCCATCCCAGGACCCCGGACTCAAGACCTGAGCCGAAGGCAGACGCTTAACCTACTGAGCCACCCAGGCGCCCATAACCTGCTTTATCTTTAAAGGCATAAGAGGAGTTTCTGAGTGAACTAAAATAGGTGTCTGGCTCAGCAGGTGAGGATGCCCCTGTGTCATGGATCCGACTTACTTTTAGGGTCCCAGTCCGAGTGCAGGAGGCTTAGCCATGGTGCTAGAGCGAGGTCCGTCCCACACGCATGGGGATGCAGACGTGTTGGGGGCAGGGCTCACCCCTGCCTTCGTGTAACTCAGGCTCTTGGGCAGTTTTAGCACGTTGTCGTCATCGATGGGCCCTGAATTCACCGTGTTGGGAAAGGTAGGGTCAGGTGTCCGTTTGACAGCAAGGACCGCCAAGGACAACCTCGCTCATTTATAGAACCTGTTCTCTGGGTGGGGAGACAGTAGACATGTAAGAATCTATAAAAATGGCAGTGAAATGCCAAAAGCCAGTTAGTGGCTAACGCCGGGTCATTTTTGCCCCCCTGCAGACCGTTACTCAGCCTTGATGTTTCCTCGTAGCCTCTTGCCAAGCTCCCCGTAGTGCTCCCGCTGGTGCTCCCGACTGGTCCTCCTGCAGCCCGAGAGTGCTGGGAGGGAGTCAGCGTGGAGAAGTCACCCCCCCCCCCACCCCGTGCTGCCTGCACCTCTGGATTGTCCACTCTGTGAAAGTCTGTTTGTTCTAGGTCCTGCCATTTAGCCAGACCCCCTCTATCTTGCCCCACCTCTGTCCTGGACTTTGGCAAAGCGGAGGGCCAAGTGTCCCTGTCGTCTTCTCTTTCCCACATCAGGCCATTGCTCCAGACAGTTTCAGTGTCTGTGTGGACAGTCCACCCAGCAGCCCCCTGATGCCAGTTGGAATGACCTTGAACGTGGCCAGGTCATTACATCTTACAGGATGATGGCTGCGTGCCAGGGGCGTCAGATGCAGGTGTGACGTCGGGGGCAGGGGGTGGCAGTGCCGGGCAGGCTGCTCCGGCCCGAGGCAGGGGGTGGGCCGCGGGCGTTCCTTGGGGAAGAGGCTCCAGCCTGTGGGAGCGGCAAGGGCAGGGGCCCTGGGGCAGCCGCTCGAGCCCCAGGGCAGGTCGCTTACAGAGTCCCTCTCCAGAAACCCCCGCACTCACACACCGACTCAACGACACAACTGTGGGTTAAAAAGACTCTTGTAAAACTCAGAGGTCATCTGAGGAGGTGCTGTCACCCAGCCCCGGGCCACCTTAATGTCACACACTCCCTGAAAAGACTCGTAGGAAGGCTGGGGGGGTGGTAGGTAGCCTGAAGCACGCTCACTGCATTTCACGGACATGGGGGCGGTGTCAGGGGGCCACAGGCGACTTTGGAGGGGAGCGCGGAGCGGAAGCCAGACTGCAGAGGGCTGAGAGGAGAAGACTGGGGGAGGTGAGTGAGCGAGTGTAGACTCCTTTTCAGAGAAGAGGGTTTTGGGGTTTTTTGTTTTGTTTGTGTTGAATGGCCAGGGCTTCATAACGCCCTCCTCTCTTTATCCAGGTAATCTCCGGCACCGCTGGTTTAATCTCTTTGCGCCGAGTCCCTTTTCCATCCTGCCAGCTTTGCTCGGGCCCCGCCCCCGGCCTGGCCTGCTGTCACCTCCTAACTAGGGCACTGCCTGTGTTCTCTGTGAACCTCGGTTTCATCTTCGTCACGCAGGTCGCTTCCCCGTCGAGTGTTGCTCTCGGCCGCACCTTGAATTCCTAGAACCTTTTCCTTGTCCACAAGGGTTGCAGTCACGTACCTCCTGTCCTCCCTGTCTTGCCATTTTGGCCCTGGACATGACCCTCTAGAGTTCTCCCTTACTTATTGCTCCCTGTGCCTAAACTGCCCTCCCTTCCTGCCGTGGATCTGCTCACAATACCTGCTCCTTCGTGACCCCCTTCGTCCCGCGTGACCTGGAGAGCGGAACTCGCCGTGCCCCCTTCTCGACCCTCGCTGCTGCCTCAGCTGCCCCTCTGTGTCCCGTGCTGCCTGTCCCTGGGTGTGTGTCTCCCGTGAGGCTGCGGGCTCCTTGGGAGTGGGGGCTGTGTGAGGTCCTCTTTGTCTCCCCAGAACCCGACACAGAGCGTGGTGCAGAGGCAGAATGATGGAATGGGGTAAAGGGCGTCATACCTAAAGTGTAGTTGACGCCACTCGTGCTGGAGTAGGTTTCCATAATGCTGTTGTGTGCTTTGTTCACAGGACAAAAGATCTCCATCTTTAATGAACATAAAAGTTATGTCCAAGGAGTAACCTGGGACCCCTTGGGTCAGTATGTTGCTACCCTCAGCTGTGACAGGTACATAAGTATTTGGCAAGTTGTCTTCTCTTTTGGCTTAATCTTTCTGCAGAGGTGTTTTCATCACCACTTAACCAATAATAAAGCAAAGTCTGGGTTTGATTCATCCGTCTGTCCATCCGTCTGTCCATCCATCCACGTTCTTGGTTTCATATAAAGCATTTGGTTTTACTGTTATTCTTACACCATAACAAGAAATTGGAAACTAATTAGGGCAAGTGCCTTATATGTAGTGCTTAGTAAATCTTTATTGAATGGGTGAATGACTGCATAGAGAGCTTTGAGTTACATTTGAATTTTCATGGGCAACTTTTAAAGAAAAAGTGTTTTTTATAACTATGACTTAGGCAAGAAGGGGCACCTAGTGGTAGGGTTTGATATTTCTTTCTTCTTCTTTTTTTTTAAGATTTTTTCTTTAAGTAACCTCTACACCCAGTGCAGGGCTCAAACTCACAACCCCCGAGATCAAATCGCACGGTCCACTGACTGAGCCAGCCAGACGCCCCTATTTCATTTTTTGATTATAGTTTACTACTGCAGGGATTTTAATGATTCTACTTAACGTAAACCTAGAATATTTTGTCTTTTTTGGAAGGAGGTTTTGTTGCTGTCTTTACTGGTGTCCTGCATTTAATTGTGTTCTTGGAACAAGGAACTAAACATCAGACGTGCTGGATATATTACTCATTGGTCACGATAGTTTTTTTTTTTTTTTTTAATTCATTTATTTATTTGTCAGAGAGAGAGACAGAAAGAGCACAAGCAGGGGGAGCGGCAGGCAGAGGGAGAAGCAGGCTCCCCGCCGAGCAGGGAGCCCGATGCGGGACTCGATCCCAGGACCCCGGGATCACGACCTGAGCCGAAGGCAGATGCCCAACCAACTGAGCCACCCAGGCGTCCCCAGAATAGTCTTTTTGAGTATTTACCCAACTACTTTTATTTATTTATTTATTTATTTATTTAAAGATTTTATTTATTTATTTGACAGAGAGGGAGACACAGCGAGAGAGGGAAAACATGCAGAGAGAGTGGCAGAGGGAGAAGCAGGCGTCCCGCTGAGCAGGGAGCCTGATGCCGGACTCGATCCCAGGATCCTGGGATCATGACCTGAGCCGAAGGCAGATGCTTAACGACTGAGCCACCCAGGCGCCCCACCCGACTACTTTTAATCATAACACCTTTGATTTCAGATGGCCCAGCAATGTGGAAGAGTTAGGAGAAGCTATGAAAAACAAACACCTTTATATTGTATGTGCATTTATTTTCTGATCTATGTGTTTTATTCGGGCATTCAGGAATATAAGGATCTGATTAGTGGGAATAATATGAATTAGCAACAACCAAATTTATGTGCTGGTGTTTTCCTTACTCTTGCAAATCCGTGAGGGCAAGACCGTTTGAAACAAATATCACCAGAGTCTTACAAATCACCAATGGGCCGAGTGTCCAAAGCCTGAAAAGGCCAGGCCTAAAGCCCATCTTACTTGATAAGTTGAAACATTCAGTAAGAAATGAAGTTATGACCTATTTCCTCACTTCATTAGTGACCTGCCTCGGTGGCTTGCTTCTGCCACAATTAATGTGACAGGGTGACAACAGTTACTATAGGTGGTCTCGCAGGCTGACATTGTTTAATTGGTCTTCAGGTTTGGTACTGGTTGCTTCTGTGTGAAACACTTCATTCACTAGAAGGGACCAGTCAGAGTCTTTTTCTTTCTTTAGGATCCTGAGGGTCTACAGCACCCAGAAGAAACGTGTGGCTTTTAATGTCTCAAAAATGCTGTCTGGAATAGGGGCCGAAGGAGAGGTAGGAAATATTTGACCTTCTACTTTAGCAGGGCTTCCGTTGAGATTCGGGAGGTCGTGAGCTCCTCCGTGTCTTAAGGCTAAACTGCTGGTCTCAGGCCCCCGATGCTTGAACTACCTTGTACTTCCTCAGATCCAGTCAAGGCTCAGTTAGACCGTTGGGCCGGTCTGCATGGGACTGGGGACATCTGGGGGGGGGGGCAGGGGACAGCTGCTAATGATGGACAGAGGTGTTCAACCCTGGCTCACTGTGGGGTCCCCTGGAAGCATTAAGAAATATGGGCGCCCTCCCCCCTCCCCCCAGATGTCATTCACTTGGCTTGAGGGTGGCAGGGCCTCTGGGATCCTGAGGTGCAGGAGGTGCAGGTGTGGTGCAGAGGCGGGTCAAGTGAGGGCCAAGAACTTCTGACCTAGGGGGACCCCGGCACTGTGCAACAGGAAGGCAGGTGGGTCAAGCATCAGGTTGTCTGGCAAGAGGCCGCATACCATTCTGGCCGGTATGGAGAGGATGTTGCTAGTGGACAACAGAGACCCAGCCATTGGTCCTAGAAGAATCAAGACTATGGACACAGGCACTTAGGCAAAAGGGAGCAGGTCGGTCACTGGAACAAAAAAGGGATGCAGTGCAAATCCCGTCCTTAGGCAGCTGGCTACTGGTGACATAGGTGAGCTCCCCTACGGCGAGGAGGGTGATGCTGGGTCTTTGGGTCCTGCAGACCTAATGCTTAGTGTTTATCAAGTGTCAGTGAGTTGGAGCAAAAACCGTCCCACACAGGTGTTTAAGACATGTTTGGAAAGATAGGTTTACCAGTTTAGTAGTGGAGTGTTTTCTAAGAAGTGTTAAGTTGGAAATTCTAAGTGGACACACACAGATAACAAAGGGCCCCTGGTTGTCATCTTGCTTCTCCCAACTCCCAGTCTCATTCTCCAGAAAAACCACTGCCGACAGTGTGCTGTGTTCTCCTAGAGGCTTCATAAAGTAACTGTAGAGCCACACACACACACACACACACACACACACACACACACACCCATGTACACCCACAGCTTTCCTTTTTTTTTTTTTTTTTTAAAGATTTGAGGTGGGCAAGGGGCAGAGGGAGAGGGAGAAGCAGGCTTCCCGCTGAGCCAGGGGCCCAATGCAGGATTCCATCCCAGGACCCCCGAGATCATGACCTGAGCTGAAGGCAGATGCTTAATGGACTGAGCCACCCAGGCGCCCCAACACACACAGCTCTCCTTAACACAAATGGGCAGTTAGTCTTCATGAGACTCTTGCAGGTTTTTTTTTTTTTTTTAAGATTTATTCATTTTAGAGAGAATGGGGTGAGGGGCAGAGGGAGAGAATCTCAAGCAGACTCCCTGCTGAATCTGCCACAGGGCTCGATCCCAGGCCCCTGAGATTATGACCTGAGCCGAAATCAAGAGTCAGTGCTTAACTGACTGAGCCACCCGGGCACCCCTACTCTTGCAGTCTTGAGTGATTTTTTGACTTGTAATATATTTCATCTATTATTATGTAATATTATTATGTAATAGATGATACTATGTAAAATTAAAAAAACTGGTTAGCCTTTCTTGTGAATGTAAAGATTTGGATTAATGTTTAAACTTGTGTGCCACAGGCAAGAAGTTACCGGATGTTTCATGATGACAGCATGAAGTCATTCTTTCGTAGACTTAGTTTTACTCCTGATGGATCTTTGCTCCTCACACCAGGTGAGTTTAACAAGTTTTTTTTTTTTTTTTTAATCCATTTAGAGAGAAAGAGAGCGTCCCAAGCAGACTCTGCTTGAGTATGGAACCTGTTGCAGGGTTTGCTCTCATGATCCTGAGATCATGACCTGAACTGAAATCAAGAGTTGGACGCTTAACCGACTGAGCCACCCAGGCGCCCCAAGAATAGTTTTAAAAGTATGGAAAGTAATAACACTTGAGCAGGTGTTTGACTAAATGTCAGCAGATACTGTTGGTGCTACTACCATCAAATCAACATGGTTATTAGTACAGGGATAAACAGATGAGTGGACCAGAACAGAAAATCCAGAAATAGGTCCTGAGATCAAAGGGAATTAAATATCTGACTTGGGTGGTATTTCAGTGGGAAGAATGAATTACTGAGTGAATGGTGCTAGAATGTCCAGGTGTCTGGAAGAAAATGATACTGGACCCTTAACTTACATATAAAAAAAAAATTCCAGGTGAATTCAATACTTAAATATAAAAGGTGAAAATGTAGGAGGACATCCTAGGAACAGGGAGGACAAACTTAACACTGGAAACCTGGAAGTTCTTAAATGATAGGCCTTTTCGACTGCATTTGACTGGGGAGCCTCTGTACAGCAAAGACCCCGTAAGCAAAATCAGTCGACAAATAACAGAACTGGAAAATACTGTTTACGTCACAGGAAAGAGAGAGCCTATGTATATCATTTACAATGGCTCTTCCAATTTGATGAGAAAAAAGGAAAACCCAGAAGAAAAAAATGGGTGAAAGATACAAAAAGGCAGATCTATGCATTTCAGCACACAAAGGAAAAGGCTCGGAAACTCAGTGACAGAAATAGAAATTAAAGTGACACACAATGAGGTATCTTTTATTCTTTTCAGACCAGAAAAAAGTGAAAATATCGCTGCTGATGGGCAAGCAGAATGTGGGTATTGCTGGTGGGATTGTGAATGGTTACAACCTGTTCAGAAAACATTCTGGTCACCGTTAAATGCATGTCCTCGTCAGCCAATCTGCCCCTCATCTTAGACTTAGTCTTTAAGAAATGAAAACCTAGTATGAAAAAGTATATTTTCAACCATGTTTATTGCAAGTATTGTTTGGAGCTGTGAAAAAACAATACTGATTAACAAGATGGGTGAACGAAGTATGGTATCTTCAGAGCAGTGACTATTAGGCAGCTAGTAAAAAGGTGCATTACCCAAGTTAGCGCTAAGTTCACGAGTGGTTGATGGAGCAGACCAATGGAAGGAGAGGTGTAAACGAGACCCCGTTTCTGTGAGCTGGACTGAAAACCGCACCGTATGAATAGATATGCAGTTGAGTTGTAACTGGTTGCGGTGGGTTGTGTGAGCGTGGGAGAAAGGCAGAAATGATCCATGGCTTATTCAAATGGGTTACGTGGGGATGGCAGGCTGGGTTGGGTGGGGGAGGGTTGAGAGTGCTGACAGGACCTCTGCCCGCCCTGGTGAGGATGAGGTGGTCCCAGGTGAGATTTCGCGTGTATCAAGAAAGAGGTGTCCAAGAGCAGCTGTGGTTGGCGGTCATTCTCTGCCCAGGTCTGGCCTGGTTTTCAGGACATCCTGGGGTGCGTGTGGAAGAGCTCAAGTGTGGGCTCTCCCCAGAGCAAGGTCAGCTGCTGCAGGGGGCTGGGACTGTAGCAGAGACCTGGGCCCCCCTGGCGGCCTCCTGGCTCCAGCGGGCAGGTGGAAAAGAGCAGGCACAGGCTGCCAAGTTCAAATCCAGGGACCGAGCCAGGGGGGTCTAGCGAGAGCGCTTCTGCAGCAGGAAGTGGCTGGTCTCCCTGGCGGAGGTCTTCATTGCAAGGGCCCCCTGCTCTGTTCTTTCTGCCCAGGCCTCAAGCTGCCCTGGGTGGGTGGGCCGCTCGGGGGAGGGGACAGGTGGGTAGAGCTTGGGTGAGAGCCGAGCCCAGACTGGGACTGTTTGTATTCGTCCTCAGTCACAAAAACATTGTCCAGAGCAGACAGCTAGCGGGGGAGAGTATTTTACGAGCCAGGGGTGGATGCTCTTGAGTTTATCATCTTCAGTCTAATAAAACCTTGCCTCTTCTCCCTCTCCCTGCTTCCCCAGCTGGATGTGTGGAATCTGGCGAAAACGTAACAAATACGACTTACGTTTTCTCCAGGAAAAATCTTAAAAGGTATGCAATTGAAGACACAGTTGAAACGTTTACCCTTTCTTTTTGCTCTTGGTGCGAAACAGTGCCCTTTCTAAAAAGGTCATGACCCATCTTCCAGGCCTATCGCTCATCTTCCGTGTCCTGGCAAAGCGACGCTTGCTGTCCGTTGCTGTCCGGTCTACTTTGAATTGAGGCCCGTGGTGGAAACAGGTACGTTAGAGCTGCAGTGGTCGTGCTACAGGTCGTGATTTGGGTTTTATCTTGTGGGGAAAGGTATGTGGGTTTGGTTCAGTTTAGTTACTAGGAGGAGCTGGAGCAAAGACCGGTGTTACCAGAACGTGTGTCCAGTTTTTGCATTGTCCACAATACACCTTCTTCACTTTAAAGGAAGAAAGGTACTCGTATTTTTCTACTGAAGCAGGTCGAATATCATTCATCCATTTCCTATATAAGTAAAGTTATGTTTGAATTGGATTTTTGTTTTTTAGGGTTTTTTTTTTTTTTTTTCATGTAAACAGAGAAATCTTGTCCAAGGCTTTAAGCAGTCAGATTATGATGGGCCTTCGTGTGGTTTTCCTCAGGTTTCTCATGCTTGGGGTTCATTGAGCTTCTTAGATCTATGGGTTTATAGTTTTCATCAAATTTGGGGAGTTTTGACCACTGTGGCATCACATTTTTTCCGTCATGCCCTGACCTCTCCATCTGGGACTCCACCTACACATGCATTAGGTCACTTGACGTCACCCCCTGGCTTCCTGCTGTATCTCAGTTTTCTGTATTACATATCCCACGTCTCTACTTAACATGCTCCGTCTTTCCTCTTCTTGAACATGCGGAATACAGTGTATGTACACAAAGACATTGAGTTATTACAAAGGAGTGGCTTTGACTCCCCCCGCCTCCCCACCTCATTGTGGGTCGTAGTTTCTTCTTTGAATGCCTGGTAATTCTTTATTAGATGCCAGACATTGTGAACTGTACCTTAGTGGATGCTGGAAATAAAATCTTTAAAATATATATTTATTCAACAGAGAGAGAGATAGTGAGAGTAGGAACACAGGCAGGGGGAGTGGGAAAGGGAGAAGCAGGCTTCCTGTGGAGCAGGGAGCCTGATGTGGGGCTCCATCCCAGGACCCTGGGACCATGACCTGAGGCGAAAGCAGATGCTTAATGACTGAGTCACCCAGGCGCCCCTGCTGGATATATTTTTATAAATATTGAGCTTTATTCTGGGATGCGGTGAAGTCACTTGGAAATACTGCGCTGCTTCTCTTCGGTAGACCGGACCCCAGGGGCATTTGGTCAACAGCTAATTTCTCCACTGCTGCAGCAAAGTGGCCTGAAGTAGGCTCATCCGAGCCCCGAGAGCTAGGTCTTCCACCCTGGCCGCAGGGAGCACCAGGCATGGCTTTCCTGTAGTTCTTGCTCTGTCCTGGGGTGGTTTCCTCACATGCTCGCTCCCATCAGTGCTCAGCTGGAGACCAGAAACGGCCCCTATGGTCTCTGCCCGTGAGCTCCGGCCGCCCAGGCCTCCTGCTTCCAGCTCCGTCCTGTCGGAGCTTCCCTCTTACCTTTTCCGGGTCTGGAAGCTCCAGGCGGTAAACTGAGGCAGATGTAGGCCTCCCTCTTCACTTCCTTCCCTCAGGGATCCGTGTCCTTCAGTGCCTGATGCTCGGGGTCTGAAAGGCCGTCGTTTGGTCAATTCTGCCTGCTGTTTGTTGCTCTAGGTGGGCGAGTAAATCCTTATTCCTTGATGTGAATGCACATAACGAACTGAAGGACCGTTAAAGTGTCACTTGACGGGGTGTTTCTCGGTGACCCTTATTTTTCCTTCTCCGAAAGTGGCCCCTCAGTCTGCCCTGTTCATTCACACGTCCGGTCCCGTCTTTTTGGACCCCCTGTGGTACCTCCGACGCTCGGGTCAGGACCCTGTGTACTCGCCGGCTCCTGGGGCATTCTCCTTAGAACTGGCCTTGAGTAAAATGATGTCATTTATGTCCCTTGACAGAGGGCTTTTGGGGGGGATTTGTTGGCGTTTGCTGCTTATTTTCCTGTCCTTTGTCCCCGCCCCCCCCCCCCCCCCCAGCAGACGGACCCTCGCAGGAGCTGGGTGTGGAGCTGGTGCGCCTGCCTTACCGCCTGGTGTTCGCCGTGGCTTCCGAGGACTCAGTGCTCTTGTACGACACCCAGCAGCCGTTCCCGTTTGGCTACGTGTCTAACATACATTACCACACCCTCAGTGATGTGTCCTGGTGAGTGGCCGGCGCTGAGGAGGTGCAGGGCGTGGGACCCTGGACCAGACCCTTGGGGGGAGCATGTCAGCACGATAGATGGCTTTTTTGGCCCGTATTAGTAATTTCTTTTCTCTTCTCTTTTTGCTCTTCTCTTTTCTTCTCTCTCCCCCCTCCCCCTCCCCCCTCCCCTCCTCTTGTTTTGTTTATTTTTAAGATTGATTTGTTTGAGGGGCACCTGGCTGGCTCAGATAGTTGAGCATCTGCCTTTGGCTCAGGTCATGATCTCGGGGTCTTGGGATCTAGCCCCATGTCGGGCTCCCTGCTCAGTGGGGAGCCTGCTTCTCCCTCTCTCAAATAAAATCTTTAAAAAATAAGATTTATTTGAGAGAGAATGTGTGCGTGCACAAGTCGGGAGCGGGGCGAGTGGGGGAGAAGAATCTCCAGCAGGCTCCCTGCTGAGCGCAGAGCCCGATGCGGGGCTCGATCCCAAGACCCTGGGATCATGACCTGAGCTGAAACCAAGAGTCAGACACTTAACCAGCTGAGCCACCCAGGCGCCCCTTCCAATATCTTTTTAAAGGAATTAACATTAAAAAGAAAGCCATTTCTAATTTGCTATAACACCGCTTCCTATGGTAACAGTAACATGTGAATGATGCCATTCCGATGCTCTGGGGATTTCTCTAATTCTCAGACTGAGGGGAGGCCCCGTGGGCTCCCTGGTTGTTGGGAACTTGCCAGCCCCCTGGCAGGAAGCCCACACCAGTGAGCTCCTGTCACCCAGAACTGCGCTTGTCGGTGGTGTCACTTTGCACTCTGCCTTCTGCTGGGGTCCTCCACACCCCCGGGGTCCCTGATTCACCCCTAGCTCCCGCCGGGCCTGCCCACCCACCATCTCTTTCTTGCTCTTTATAACCTTTTTCCTTTTCTTCTTGGGGGTGAGGAGGGAAGATCATCACACCTTTATTTGGGTGATTTTGATGACAGTCCCGAGATGTCGCAGTGCCTGAGAAAGTCGAGCCGGGGCTGGGGAGGAAAGGGTAGGAGTGGGGAGCACACAAGCCCTTCTCCCTTTCACACCAAGCCTGTGATGCTGTGTGAACTTGCCTTTCCTGACGACTAAAGGGAGTCTTAAGAGGGGCCCCTTTGGACTTTGGTACAGTTTCTAACCTTTTTTCCTGTTCGGGGAACAAAGGTCCAGTGATGGGGCCTTCCTGGCCATCTCTTCCACGGACGGCTACTGTTCGTTTGTGACGTTTGAGAAGGATGAACTTGGAATACCTTTGAAAGAGAAGCCGGTTCTAAGCATGAGAACGCCCGACCCAGCAAAGAAAACGAAGAGTCAGCCACACCAGGGGTCTTCGCCAGGACCCAGGCTGGCTGAGGGGACCCCCACCGGCAGAATCCAAGACCCCAGCAGTCCCTGCACACCCCCGCCTCAGGCGAGACCGTCTCCAGCCCCAGCAGCACCTTCCGAGGAGAAGGCCCTGCAGCCTAGCACTCAAAACCCGAGAGCGCCCCCGTCCCGGAGGGTCACTCTGAACACCCTGCAGGCCTGGAGCAAGACAACACCCCGGTAAGAACTTCCAGTGGAAGAACCTGTCCTTGCAGTTGAAAAACAAAATAGAAACCAGAAGGCCCCAACGTTGAACAGGGGACATCCCGTAAGGGCTTCATAGTGTGGCCAGAGAGATTTTGGGACAGACCTGAGTGCCACCCCCTGCTTCCAGACCTCTGCGGGGTCCCCGTTTCCGCCTGTCAGGGAGGGCACACGGGCAGACGTGGCTGCAGCCCGCCACCCAGTTTCTGGAGCTTTCCGTAGTAGAAACTGTGTCTGCTCACCTTACATACGTGGCGTCCATGGGTGTTCATCATACCATTGGAGATGAACAAAACAGGTTTTGGGACTTTTAGATGACTAGTTAAGGCTTGACTGTTGTAACTGTGATGATTGAACTTAGTACCTGAACATAGTCCTTAGTTCCTAAATAAGTGGGCACATCAATATTTAGTGTCTTGCATGATATGATCAACTCCGTAGGGTAGTTTTGAAATTTGGTATCCTCACAAATGATTCCGATGACACTAATGAGCCATGTACCCCTTTACTACTTTTTTTAATCAAGGAGGATAAACTTAATACCCTTAAAGACAGATACTCCACCGAATTCTGCACCAACCAGTATAATTTCCACCCCACCCACAGAGGAAATTCAGTCAGGTGAGTAACACTGGTCCTGGTTTAATATAAGTAAAGGTAGACTATCTTCTCTTTGTTCTCTTGGAAACTAACCACCTAATTTTTTTTTTTTTTTTAAAGATTTAATTTATTAGACAGAGAGAATTAGACAGAGAGAGGGAACACAGGCAGGGGCAGTGGGAGAGGGAGAAGCAGACTCCTCGCCGAGCAGGGAGCCCGATGCGGGGCTCGATCCCAGGACCCTGAGATCATGACCGGACCTGAAGGCAGACGCTTTTTAACGGCTGAGCCACCCAGGCGCCCCACTAACCACCTAATCTTAAGTCCATTTTGAGAAAGCAGGGATGCATCTTACTAGACCGATCGTTCAAACTCTCTGGTTGCCCAGTTATGCCCCTAGGGAGGCCACCTTCCCACGCAGCCACTCACAGTAAATGATAGATGGCACGTTCAGAGGTGCTAGAGGTCAGGGTTCTCCACCTGCGGGGCTGGATAATTCTTTGCTGTGGGGGCTGTCCTGTGATTGTAGGCTGGCGGCCTCCCTGGATGCTGGTACCCATTCTCCCCTCCCCCACCCACTTGGGACATTCTCAGAGGTTACCAGACATTGCCCACTGTTCCCTGAGAGGCGAGATCGCCCCCCCCATTGAGAACCACTGGATCCTTTCTCTTATATCCATATAGGACCTTGCTAGACAGTTCAGTTCTCGTCCGGGCACAAAATTTATTTTGTAAACATCATTTTTTTTTTTTTTTAAGATTTTAGTTAGCGTGCGGTGGGGAGGTGCAAAGGGAGCATCTTAAGCAGACTCCTGCGCTGAATGTGGGGCTCGATCTCACGATCCTGGGCCCACAACCTGAACTGAAACCAAGAGTTGGATGTTTAACCAACTGCGCCACCCGGGGGCCTTGTAAACACCAGCTTTTAATTTTAAAGTGTTCACTTACTTGCCAACCTGTGTTTGTTAACGTTCCAGAGATGCCTGGAGACCCTCAGGGCAGTCCTCCGGAGCTCAAGCGGCCTCGACTTGGTGAGCATGAGGGAAGTCCCCAAGGTCTGGACCCTTGATGAGACCTGTCTGGTGCTTGAGGGCTGCCAGGTCTGGGGCCCCCTGTGTGCACAGAGCGGGGGGCCGGGCCGGAGACACCGGAGACCAGTGGCATTAGGCAGAGCCTGACGGACACTCGGAAATGGATTTCTGTAACAGAAGATACACAGGGACCAGTTTTTCTGCAGAACTATGTTTGCTCTTGTGTTCAAGATACATTTTTACCTCGGAGATGTGAACATTTTAATAGACTAAATCCTCTTTTTGATAAGTTTCTGAAACTGGAGCAGTTCAGCGTTATCTAGAAACCGTGAATCCTCTTTTAAAAATACTTGCTGGAAAGTAGAGACATGATGCAAGCAGACTCCTCCTAAAGCAGGAATGAGAAAGAGGAGAAAGTTATTTGAGGAGGTTTATGCTGTTGAATTGACCTTCTGCATAGTCGATTTTTAGGAGTTAGTTTGCTAGTTTGCTTTCTGATTTTAAAGGTAATAACGCTTGTTCTGGAAAGTTAGGAAGTGAGAATAAAATAGAACTGGGTCAGAGATGGGACCCCGTTACCATCAGAAGGAGCCTGGTTGTTGTTCGGGCATATTTATTTCCTTGACTTTTTTCTTAGGGAGAGAGGTGAGATTTCACTTTAGCTACAGCTTGGTATCCAAATAGGTTAACTTTTCAGATTGATTTTTCAGAGTAAAAGAACTTACCTTAGCAATTTATGCCTCTGCCTTTGCTTTCCCCAGCCCGGGGATGGGGACGTGCGCTCCTTTCTGCGGGGAGTAAAGCAGGGCTGTGGGGTGGGGTGCAGGCAGGGCCAGGAGGGGGTCATGGGCCCGAGGTAGTTCTGGCTTCTCACCGACAGGAGGTGCTACCGGCGCATTTCGTAACGCTTGATGCCTGTCATTTGGGCATAATGACCACCATGAGCCGGGCAAGTGAGGCTCCCCCAACCCCAGATTTTGTTCCAGTCTGGGAGAGCTCACAGCATTTAGGAGCCCTGGTCAAGTCTGATAGGAAGTGGCCGAGGAGTGGATCAATGTGTCCCCTTTGAACTCAGGTCAGCGGCAGCAAAGAACGGGAAAACGGATCAATGGGTTGCTTAATCCATAACCTAGTTAACCAGACAAAGAGCTTGCTTCCCTTTCAGGTGGGAAAGTGGCTCACGAGGGATAATGTACGGTGTGGAGAACTAGAAGTTGAACAGATTCTTAGCTATGATGACAAGGGTGTGGGACACATTCAACATGAAGATATTTAAAATGTCAGACGGTATCTGTTCTGCCCAGTGATTCTCAACCTTCACTGCGTGCTGAAATCACCCAAAGAACTGACTAGAGTATTGACGCCTGGGTACTCCCTCCACAGGGCACGGCCTAACAGAACTGGGGCGTGGTCAGGATTCTTTAAAGCTCCAGGTAATTCGGATGTGCAGCCAAGACTGGGAAATCCCAAGAGAAAAACTCTCCCCGGGTATGGTCTCTTGTGGTTAAATCATTTCCACCGAAAGCTTCTTCTTATTTATTCTCTGCATCATCACTGATTGGCAGCCTGAGAAGATAATGGGTGGGAGATGCCCTCAGCTCTTCAGAGAAGAAAGATTTTACGTTTCCTGCGGCTGGAGTGGTGTATTCTCTGGTCACCGATCCCTGTGCAAAGAGGTGTGATCGTGGGTCCCGTGTTCTGGGTGGGCGAGCCTGCTTTCCTGGCCACACTCCAGACTTGTCTACACCTCTGTCTCTGGTGCAGCAACCGTCGGGGGAGGGGGTACCTACAGCCCAAAGCGGGGGTTTATAGGCAGAACTAGTTGCCTGTCAGCTGTCACTGAATATGAATTCGCGAATCGTCCGTAAAAGCCCAGGCGATGTTAGCTCTGTGTCCTGGTCTAAAACGGTCTGCTTCCATCCGAGCACTTACTGAGGAAGCCTTCTGCAAAAGGAGCCTAGCGTGAGGGTCAGGCGGGGTCCCGTCACCCAATGTCACTGAGCACGGCTGCCCCCGCGGGGGTCTGGGGCCCACGCCATCGTGTCAGGAGCCCCTGCAAGCGGGGCGTCTGCCAGGGCAAGGGCGTTGCAGCAGACACACAAAGTGGGTGTCACTGGGGACAGGGCGGCTGTCCCATCCAGTCCCCTTACATCTGCATGTTCACGGCATTGAGGACCCTTCTTAGCAAAACAGTTGTCAGCGTCCATTTCAGCAAGTAGGTCTGGAAACTTCCAAGTGGGGAGAGGACGACTGGCCCAGCCCTTCCCACCTGGAGTCTCGAGAGCCTGCAAGTTCCCTTTGTCACCTGACTAGTTCAGCGTGCGGCCTCACACCTGCCATGGGCACACCTTGGACAAATGACTTCACCAAAAGCTGTTTCTTTACAGCTTTACCACCTTTCCCTTTGCCCACTGTGGCCGGGGACAGGGTGAAGCGAGAAGGCGGAGACGAGACATCAAACCGAAGGGCTGGAGGGTCGCAGGAACAGGTCGCTGTACTCCCGCACGAGCTGTCGGGGCCGCTGGGGGTCGCTGTCCCAGCTGGACGGGCCCGGGCTCAATGGCTCCGCCAGCCCCGTGGCTCCACCAGCTTCCGGGGGTCCCTGTCCCTGCCGGGCTCAGAGCAGGCTTGGCCAGAGTGGCCCTGGTGGCTGGTCCTAGAGGAGCACGGCTCCAGATTGGGGTACGGGAAGATGAAGAAAGGAACATGAGGACCCATCTCCTCGCCCGTCCGCTGGTCCAAGAAATGCTTATCAAACAGCCAGGTACCCAAGCGTCCATCAGGGAACAAGAGAGAACCCTCCCCCTGGGGCTTACATTCTGGCTGTGGAGACCACCAGTCTGCAGGGAGCCGTGATAGAAGAGCACTGTGGGATAAGGGGCGCCGGCTGGGCGGCCTGCCGTCTGCAACAGGACCGGCCCCTCTGAGGGTGAAGCGGCACGTGGGTCAGGTTTCCCAGCTCGTCAGGAGCAAGATCACCTCAGCTCAGGCACAGGCTGGGTGTTTCGGGCTCCCTGGCACTCAGGCTCCTCCTGAGCGATGGGGGCACGCAGGCTCTGGGGACGTGGCTTGGGTGGCCCGGCGCCGGCCACAGGTGACAACTGCCCAGTCGTCGTCGGGGCAGGGGGGGGCGCCTGCCACTTTCCAGGGGCCACAGAAGCTTCCTCAATCGTGCCTCTGTCTCTTCCTCCAGACCAGAGGCAGAGCCATACATCATGCAGCTTTGTCTTCCACTTCCTGCATTTAAGCAAATCCCGGAGGTCGTGACAGCTGAGTTGTCAGGGTGGGGGCCACGGAAGGCGCCTCGTTCAGCACAGCCTCTGCGCCCGAAGGCCTGCCCTCCTCAGCACAAAGAGCAGCAGGAGAGCCTTGGATCCCTACCTTAGTCCTGGTTTATTTCCTTGCATTTTGGCTCAGAGATGCTGTGAAGCAGTAAGTATTGCCCCTTTCGAAGCTGTGGTGACAGGTGCTTAGTAGCAATTGTGTGGGGTTGAGACCCTGGCCTCGTTCCTTAATACCCCAAATGACTTGATGTCTCCTTCTGTCATTGCTCATTAGCTGGGAAAGGCATTTCAAGTGTAATACGAAGACTTTGGAACAACTCGGGGTCTCCCTGCCGCGGGTCAGCGCCCCTGGCCGGTCCCCGGAGAAATGCATGTTTGGGAGGAAGTCGGTGCTGTCATCAGCCCCTCCAGACCTTTCCCGCACAGTTCCCTCTTCTGTCCCCGCCCCCACCTACCTGCCAAGTACAAGGAGCTGGCAGCACCACCACCCCTTCCAGGCCCTGCACCGGGGCACCTGTGGGTCTTTACAAACAAAACAAAGCCGACTCAAATCTAGACTTAGTCTAGACCCCGGAATCGGCTTCTGTAGGTGGGGAGACCCAGGGAGGCATGTGCATTTTTAAAAGCGGTCCGAGAGATTCAGCGGGCAGTGGGCCTGAGACCTACCACTTGGAGGGTTGTGAGATCTGCAAGACATACGGTGAAGGGCAGTTAAAATTCCTTGAACTTACCGATTGTATAAAGAAACTACATATTAAACTACTCAAGAGGAGGCTGAAGCTCGAAGAAACGAGCAGATGCTGTGTTTTTGAAGCCACCTCCAAGCTAGCCGCCCACAGTGGCTTCCCCTCTTGGTTTGAACCCGGGCCACATGAATTTGGGTTCCGAATGAATGAGTACTCGAATATGCCACTGGGGGGCGATATTGCTAGCCCTTCGCTCCACGGTCAAATATACGAATGAATGTATTTTTAATGGGAGGATTTTTAATCCCATTGTTATGGAAGTAGTATATTATCTATTGCAAGACATTTTTCATGTTTATTACTTTCTGTATAATTACATGCTATCTTGTTGTTCCAAAGAGTTCTGTAAATCCACATCATATACTGAATCGGAGCCCTCCGTGAGAACTTCCCACACAAGTAGCTAGATTTAAAAGGTGTTTCAGTTAAATGTAGCCGAAGGTATAATGAGTTTGAAGAAGCTAACCTTAAAATGTTTTTTTAAAAATTTTTAAGCCAAAAAAAATAATGTCTTGGTGACATTTTTCTACATTAGCTACAAACAATGTCCACCGTGACTTATAACTATACAAAGACATATGCACAGAGTTGTTGCAGTATTTTGAGATGGAAAACAAGACTGGAAATCCTCTAAGTGTCTACCAACAGGAGATCCATGAAATTGCAGGGCGACCATATGGTGGCATGTGATGGAGCTCTGAGCTGGAGCTGTGTGCTCTGCTGTGGAGAAGGTTCAAGTGCAAGACCAAGGAGAAGGGGAAGCCTGGTGTATATATATATCCTCCTCTTCCCGGTGAGCCACCAGAGAACAGAACCCATGCCAAACGGACGCGCAGGCCCCCTGCTGTGATAAGAGGGTTGTCTGGCTCCAGGACCTTATCCTCAGGAGCAGAGTGCGGGGCGGGGGGCTTGCAGTTAGGCCATTCAAGGCCCTTCCAGTTTTAGATCACACACCAGCACATAATATTAATGTTAGGTCTTATGTCACATGCTGGTATGTGGAAAACC